CATAACATGATACATCATTTCTAACACATTTACTAAGCAGTGTTTTTGAAGAGTGAATTTTTACTTCTTCAACATTTTCCTAAAAATTAGGATTAATAAGCAATTAGGAAATTAGCAATAATAAATAACTAAGATAAAATCATTCAAATGATTCAATTGAAATTAAGGTAATAAGAAAAACATTAGAACAGTATATTACAAAAAAGGAAGCATTAAAATAGCTATAGGTATACTTAAATTGCATTACAAAGCAGCTTATTTATTTACTTAGTTAATTTTTATTTTATAAAATATTTTAAAAACCCATGCAGCCATGCTAATCTTACCATCATAGATGATTTGGACCTTAGTCAGAGTTAATGATAATTTTTAAAACATAAACTCACAAACGCCTTTTTGACAGTTGATTATTGATTAAGTTTTTACACATATTTTCTAAACAAATAACTTAAAAAGATATTTGTAATTGTAATATTTATATTTCTGAATTTACCTATGTACAATGTACCTACTAAATATTAAGTGAAAATTAGTATTTTAAAATTTGTGTTCGAGTAGCCAGTAGGTACTTACCAAAATTAGGTTTTGTGACTCTATAGTCTCACTTTGTGGTAAAGGTGATGGGTCACTATTTGATTCTAAAGTATCAGCAGATGGTTTGGTTTTTTTTGAAAAAAAACTCAATATTGAGGTATTTTTTCGTTTAGCACTCATTTTTTTTATAAATTGTGGCTGAATGCCTGAATCCTGAACACCAAACTACACGAGAAAGAACATCAAGAAACCGTTGGTTGATTTGATAATTGATTATTATTCGTACTACCACTTTATTATGTGCTACCACTACTACCTAGTACCTACGATAAAATTAATGATAACTGATAAGTGATAACACTATTTAGAACCGTTCTAAATAGAACGTTTCATAACGTCCCGCACTTCAGATGAAAACATCAATAACACTGCAGCTATGCTTTCTCGATTTTATACTACAGTGATAATTTAGAGTCGTCTAGTTGTTTATTAAAGACATGATTAAAAAATTAAAGACCATAGTCTATAGATAATAGACATATTATTTAAGTGTTTGACAAATAAATAAATTTTAAGATGAGAAAGAAATTTCGGGGGGGGTTAAAACCCTATAACCCTACCCCTGCGTACGCCAATGTTTACAACTAAGGAGAAAAGAGAAAAATGTAAGGAAATGGTTTAAGTAACTTGTAAATTAAAAGCTTGGATAAAGTTGAATCAGTGCATTTCTTAGTCAGGTTTATTTTTGTTGCAAATATATATATATAATATATTCTTACTATTATGGTGTAATAGTTTTAATTTTGAGCTTGTCGTTTTTTTGATTTTTAAAAGTTTTTTTGGGGATTAAGTTATACAGAAGATTTATTATTTTAACTCTTTTCATTCAAGGGGTTAATCTTATCAATTAAACCCTATGTAGTATTTACTTTAACTTATAGTAGGCACAATTAAAAAAATACAAAAATTCAATATGTCAATTTTGTTAACACATTAACTGTGTGTCATGTTGTCTCTAGCTGACTTCCTAAACTCACGCTTCTTTAGATCCCCCCCTGTTTGTTGCAAAGTCCATTCTCGTTAATAATCATATCCATTGGATATGGCATTTTATCACGTTGATCGATTCACTGTTGTTCGCATTGAATGGCGTATCCATTGTGCTCTGCAGCCTACACAACGTCAAGAAAGCGGCTGCTGTAGTGAAACCAAGCGTCAATATCTTAATGTGTGGTCGGACAGCAACCAGGTCATGATATTTTTGCCTCAAAGCATTGATTATATAATAAAATAAAATTATCATTGTCGCAAAGTGTTTGACGAGTGTAATAAACACACTATATTACGCTATAGTTACGTACTTCCATTGATTATAAATACTAGTATTTATGTATAATCAATGGTAATATGAATCACACCATAATGAACTAATTAGATATTTATTTGCGTAGGGCTTGTACGGTTTTTCATATTAAAAAGCATTATGTTTTTTTTGTTGGTAATTTTTTTCAACTGAATATATTTTTTTTTTTAAATACGAGCTTGGGTGGGGCCTTGACCTCTAGCCCCTCCCCTTGGAACTGCCTCTGATTTATACTGTTCTAATCATCACAATTATAAAAAAAAAAATAAAGTAATGAGAAGGAATGTTGTCTAGTTGGTTTTGTGAACAAGTCATTTTATAAATTTCTCAACAGTTTTCAAAATAATTGCGAAAAACTGACAAACATTTTTAAAAGTATGATACAACTTATGGCATACAGGTTTTCAACAAAATCAAATTTATACAATGTTTTTTTAATTTTTTTGTTTAAATTGTGGCCTGTTAAAATTATTTTTTGTTTATACGTATATACGCACTATATATACGTTAAAATTCATAGATTCTACCCTAAGACTATAGCACATATTTAGGAATTAAAATAATACTTTAAAATGTACTATATTCAGTATAATTTTTATAATATACATAATCACCAAATATGTATCAATAAATATAGACATGTTCCTATTTTTAAAAAATTAACTTCATGCTAGTATTAGTCAACTTGAATTAGTTTCAAGTCGAATAAGGGTTGTTCAAAATGTTGTTCAAAATCAAATAATTTGCTGAATTGTTTACAAGTATATTTGTCAATAATTGGTTCTGTTCAATAACACCGTTATTTAGTAAACATAAACACTTTTTTACAATTTTTTAGTTCAAACGAGAAATGAAACTAAAATATAAAAAATTTTCAATATGACCAAAATGTAGAATTATAATGATTTTTGCCCGGTCTAATGAAAAAAAAAAATGCTTTATTAACAGCCGTTAGAGTTGGCCGCTTTTGCAGCCGCAATTTGTCGTCGACGACAGCGACGATTTTTGCAATTCGGTCGATTACACAATCTACGATTTGGATTTGCCGTTGGTGCAGCGGTTATCGTTGGTGATGCGGCGGTTGTTACGGGTGGTGCGGTGGTTATCGCTGGTGGTGTAGCGGTTATCCATTCAATAGCCATTGGTGCTTTTAAAATGTTCGTTACGGCTGCGGCAACGGTGGTGTTGGTGGTTGTCGGCTGAATCGTTTTTTGAAAAACGATTGAAAGTGGCCAATAGTCCACCGTTATCGCCGGCAGCAGTTGTTTGTATAGCTCTAAATTACCAGCGGTCGTCCGAGTAATCCTCACTTTGCGGTAGGACCGTTGGTATTGGTTGTGATACGAAAATCGTCCCTTGACCTGGTATGTGATGACGGCCGTTTCTATTTCATCATCCACTTGATCCTCGACTTTATTCCGAATGGCTAGTGGTTTCCATTCAATAGCTAGTGGTGTTTTTAAGATATTCGTTGCGGCTGCTGCAACGATGGTCTCGGTGGTTGTCGGCTGAATCGTTTTTTGAAAAACGATTGAAAGTGGCCAATAGTCCACCGTTATCGCCGGCAGCAGTTGTTTGTACAGCTCTAAATTACCAGCGGTCGTCCGAGTAATCCTCACTTTGCGGTAGGACCGTTGGTATTGGTTGTGATACGAAAATCGTCCCTTGACCTGGTATGTGATGACGGCCGTTTCTATCTCATCATCCACTTGATCCTCGTCTTTATCCCGAATGGCTAGTGGTTTCCATTCAATAGCTAGTGGTGTTTTTAAGATATTCGTTGCGGCTGCTGCAACGATGGTCTCGGTGGTTGTCGGCTGAATCGTTTTTTGAAAAACGATTGGAAGTGGCCAACAATTCACCGTGACCACCGGCAACAGTCTTCTGTACAATTCTAAATCATCAGTGGCCGCCCAAGTAATTTTCATTTTACGGTAGGGTAGTTGGCAGTGGTACTGTTTCGAAAACCGTCCGACGACTGGATCTATGGTGACGACGGACTGTTCGACCTTTTCTATTTTAACGTCCACTCGGACCAACACGCCTTCGTCTGGAATGGCTTTTGCGAAAAGCACAGCATTTTTCAACTTTGGCCATTTCACTTGTGTAACTGCTGTCAGCCCAACATTTTCTGTTTCAGAATCTACGGTCGGGTGAACGGTCAACGGCCGCACGTCCGGCGTAACGGTCCGCGCGTCACCGGAGTTTTTCGTTTCGGGCGACTCGACCAGGTGAGCGATCGCCGGCGCCGAATTCGACGAGGCGTTCAACAGCGATTGGTCGTTCAGTTCCAGGGTACCACCAGTTGTCCGGCCGTGACTCGCTTTGCGGTGGAACCGTCGGCAAGGGTGCTTCAAAAATTTCCTGACGGCCTGGGCTATCCTGACGAACGAATTATCTCCACTTGCGTTCACGGAAGCTGTGGATTCGACCGTGCACGGTTCTACCGCGCGTTCATCGACTTCGCCTTCGACTGGCCGACACCGACGGTGCCAAACTTTCATGCAATCTGCAAGAGAACAGAAATCAAAAACTGTTAGTTTAATTGGTATAAAAACTTTGAGCACGTGCGGTAACAACCGTGCATACTTACGGATGCAACCCAGAGCCTTTGACCATGGCCACTTTAACTGTTTGCATTTACAGCATTTGCGAGTCCATTTCAATGTTCTGACCAGAACGTGTTCGCATGGTTTTCTAAAAAATGAAAACACGAAAACGGTATTCCGTTAGATTAAATAACTACTACAGATCATTGTGATTACGGTGTATAAACATAACTGAGGCGCGTTCTTGTGAACGCAGTATTTGTATTCATTTTGAATGATTTTTAATTACAATTTATTTTTGTTTAAAAATAAATTTTGTACGAAACTATAATTACTCGGTATTCCTATTAGAAGTACGATTATTTTAAGTTTCCCATAAGGGATAGAACTTATAGAAAACTGAAAATAAAATAATTAATAGTCCAGTACTATTATCTAGTTGATGAAAATATAATACAACAATACGGATATTTTATTCAACATTATAAGATTAAAAGTAGTAGAAAAATTCATTTTATATGACATTGCCGACGTTTGGCGACCTGGAATGGTGGCGTGGCAGTCAGCAACGGATTAGTTATTATTGTTTTGTACGGTATGTTGTAAATTATTATTGTATACCATTATTTTTGGTCTGTACTTTAATACGGTAGTCATAGTGAATTGTTTTATGCGATTTCTATTTTGTGACTTTTTTGTGTGGTGTTATGTTAGACTGCCTGTATTTAGTGGCGTCTCAAGCCACCTAGAGGCCCTGTGTGGCACGTTATTTGCGAGGTTTCTACTACTATATTAGAGTTATGCATTTTTTTTTTTAATTAGGTGCAAAATTATGCATTTTTAATGCTTTTTAGAGCAGATTTTCATCATTAGGTACCCCTATTTAACGACTATAGATTGCAAATACAATCTATAATGCAACACAGTTTTATTTTATTCAAAGAGTGGTTTGTTTTTTTCGTGTATATAATTAATTAATTTAAATAAAATATCTATTAGGATGTTTAAACAATCTATAAATAAAACAAAAAGTTAAGATTAAGAATAAAATATAATATTAGCACAAGGTATAGTTGGATCTGTATTTACATTACAGTTCTAGTTACATATGGTTTTAAAAAATAAACTCTTCTACTTTTTTCTGACTGAAGTTTTCAATCAAATGCTCAAAAGATGTAACAAAAGCGTTATCACCTTATAATACAAATAAAAATTACAATTTTCTTTATTTTCTTATCAATAAAAAATATTTGGCTTAAGAATTATTTAGAAAATTATTTGATATGCATATGACTAAGTGTTCTCAAGAAGTACAAATTTATTATAAAAATATTTTAAATTCTGAGTAAAGCCAAGGATCTTATGGTTTTACAATTATGTTAGTTATTTATTTTTTTCTATAAACAATTCATTACACGTTATCGGCATAATGTTTAATCGTTATCTAGCATGTCCAAGATTACGGCTACTTTATGGTAAAATTTAATTTTAAGTAATTGACAGTAATAATCGGTATTCGAGTTCATACTTGTAAATTTTACTCCAGGGCCCCGATTTTTTCATAGTAAATCGTGAATTAACTATAAATTTTTGCTCGACTTTTTGTTAACTGCGAGACCCTGTGCGCTGCACAGCTCTTATACCCCTAGAGTCGCCACTGCCTTTATGTTTATTGTGACTTGGGACTCGTGTAGTCGTTTTAGTCTGTACAAATGTTACAATATACTGTAACGTGACAAAATGATATCCGTGTCGTCGATGTGATTTTGAGTTATGGTTATATTTGTATTTATGTTGATTATTTGGGTCGATTGCATGTTGCGACGATATATATATATATATGTACTTGTACGCAGTGGTTAAAGTGAAGGTTAAGTATAGGTAATAGTATAAGGTAAGTATATGCGTCCTCTTTAATTTAAGTCACCAAAAGTCCGGGTGGACGCTTAATGACATTGGTCACTAAAATACAATATTAAATATACAATACTTATTATAATATTACAATATTATATGAAATTTTTTTTTCTTGATTTATTTGAATAAGTGGAAAAAATTTCGGAGAAATAATATTTAGGTATAACGATAAGAAAAAATGATAGATAATGTACACCACGTTTAAATGTTATTTAAATGGCATTGGCCGAGCCGGGCCCCAAGTTTTCTTTGGCCTTATTAAAACTGGTAACGTATTTTTTGGTTAGATGTGC